TATATATATATATATATATATATATATGATAAAGGTGGAAAGGCAAATATACTAATTAATTCTAAAATTTGAAAGCATAGGGCAGAGTCAAGCTCCCAAAGCAAAATAAATAAATAAATAAATTGAAAAGATAAATAAAAAAGAGAGAATGATAACATGAGAACATATACCCATAAAAGCAAAAAAAGAGAAAAGAAAAAAAAAACACTACATATATCAATCATTCCACTCCTTTTTTTCCCTCTCTTATTCCCACCTCTCACAACTAGCGGCAGATTCAAAATTTAAATATCGTCAATTTTCTTTCACATACATAAAATTCGACCCTAAAACACTTACACTAACTCAAGTCCAGCACTAGACAAACATTATAATTAGCCCCTACATACATCGATTTTGTTATTTCTGAATCCGTCTCTGTATATATATGTTCATGGAAGTGTTAATGGTTATAGTTATGATATTAACTATTATTGTTAGAACAAAAGCTACATGGTGTGTAGTTAGAAGTGATGCAAGTTATCAAGCATTACAAAGAGGTTTAGATTATGCTTGTAGCTATGGTGCTGATTGTTCACCAATTCAATCTACTGGCCTTTGTTATCTTCCCAATACTATTCAAAATCATGCTTCTTATGCCTTCAATAGTTACTACCAAAGAAACAACATGGCTCCTGGCTCTTGCCAATTTGCTGGCACTGCTACTTTTGCCAAAACTGACCCAAGTAAGTCATTTTTACTACTCACCCCTCGTTTTTCTGGTTTCTCACTCGATGTTTGATACTGATTAAGTTTAGATTTATACCGAAAAGTTTCATATTAAGGTTTTCTAATAACAAAGGCGACTGTGTATCTAGGTGTTGAATTCAGAACTTTTCTAAGAAAGGATGAAAAAGTAGTAGTACTTACCGCTCTACCAAAATTTGGTCGGTTGTTTTATGCATTAGAAGTTATATGTATGCATGGTCAAGGTTAATGTAAATGGTTTTTTATTATGTCAGGTCACTCAAAATATATCTACATGTGAATATTCTTAAAATGTTAGATTTTGAAGTCTTGAAATTAAAACAAGTTACATACGTGGTACAACATGTAAAATTTACCTGATTGTGTAAAAATTCTTTATACTGTGTATATAAATTGAACTCTTTAATTTATGTACACTGACACAACATAAATAATTATTTTTTTGAATTTTCAGTGTATAGGTTGATATAGGTAAAGTTGATTAATTATTTTTATCTTATTTTTACCTTTTAGGTTATGGATCTTGTGTTTACCCAGCTTCTCCAAGGTATGTTCTTTCAATACTTATTTGTTTCACATCTCTTTTTTTTTATGTTGTTTTTTTCATTCTTGATCATTTTCTATAGCTTTTTTTTTTCTTGAAAATAATGTTTTTTCTTCCACTTTATTAGCTACCCAAAATAATGCTACCTTTTTAAAAAGAAAAGAAGAACATTGGGCTGTAAAGTAGAAAAATATATCATAAGCAAACTTTTTTTTTCTTTTTTGAGTGTTGGATGGAGATAATGGTTTTTGTTCAAGAACATTGTGGAGTGTTGCTTTTTGTGTATAATGATGTCTATAGTGCCTTATTACGTGGAAATGTGTTGATGATGTTCTCGGGGCGGATTTAGAGGATAGCGAGGGTTTACTCGAACTTCATATTAAATTATTTTATGTATATATATTGAATTTGAACCTCCTGAAACATAAAATTAAAGATTGACTTAATAATTGAGGGAGTTCAGATTTTCGAACCCATTAGTGAAAATCTTAAATGCGTCACATGTTGTTCTTTGATTGAACTTTTTTATTATTATTATTTTTTATCACTAAGTCTCTATATATTACTAGTATAATAAAGTTTTATATAGTTAGTGTATTTTAACATAATGTTATAGTTAAACTACTTATTATGTTGTTGATTTTTGGATTTTTGAATTTTGATTAGGGCTGCCGGAGGGCCACTTCCTCCCTCCGGAATCGGAGGTCGTAATGACACAAGTGGAGGAATTACAACCACTCCAGTTTTATATTCACCACCACAAGCAATTATAAACCCTGTATATGCTAATAGAACAACACCAATTACTGCGGGATCGGATGATCCTGACTCTCAAGATTCAAAAGCAACTTGTCCCAAGTTTTGGACAATGACAAGCTTAATTCCAACATATTTGATGTTTCACCTAATTCATAATTTTCAACTTTTGTAGGAAGACTTATTTAGTGAAATTTTGTAAGAAATGACAACTTTATTTTGATATTATGACCACAAGTGTTATCAAAAGTATCGCTTCGCCGCTTAAAGCAATGAAGCAAGTAAATTGGGACGAAGGGAGTATTAGAATGATAGTAATTTTTATATAGTTCATGTATTTTAAGCAGTTACATGTATTTAGACATGAATTTTAGTGTAAAGAAGTTGAATTGTTTGGTTTGTTGTTGTATTGTTGATATTTGAACTTTGTTGACATTTTCTCCATATTTTCTCAAGCTCAAAAGCATTTCTTCGCCGCTTAAAACAATGAAGCCATGTAAAACGAGGTGTTATCACTTTATGAATGAATCTATACACTTCAAATTATTAATGCGCATAATGGCTTAAACAAGCATTGCAGTCAATTTTTGAAATCTGAATTTTGACAATTCATAGTATATATAGGGAATATTACAATTAGTTATAATTATTTAAATCATTTTAAAATAATTATAACCGTTTGTTAAAATCGCACTACTTATGTTATTATATTTATATATATATATATATATATATATATTTGACGGCTATTATTTTGATAGACGACTCTTTAATTTTTCAGCCCAATTGTCCAAATAATACTGTAGCCCAAAATATATGACCCACAAGACCAAGCCCAAGCCCATCTGGTTTAGTGTCGTAAATCCAAATTCATTTCCTAATTCCCACTACACTCTAGTGATCCACTGCTCCGCCGTCGTTATCGCCGCCATAGGTTTCGTCTTGTATAATCGAATCCTAAGATGTCAATTTCTTATTCTCCTTGCTTTCAACCTCTTAAAGTGTTCCCTAGAAGTAATCGTATTCGTTCAAGCGGAGCTTTTACCTTGAATCGACGTAATGTAGTGGCATGTATGAAGAAATCACATGAAGATACCTCTCTTGAAGCAAAGGTATGAGCTCAAATGGCGCGTTAATGTTGTTATCAAAGTTTGTTAATTGATATAGAAGCCGCATTTTTTTTGTTTTTTGGGTTTAGGATTATCTATGTTTAGCTCGTTTATGAATGAATTTGTAGTTTATTTGATTGATCAGATATAATCAGATGCATCCTGTGTTAATTCTGGTATATATTTGATAAACGTGGCGTGCTGGACAGCTTTCGCGCAGCTCAACTAATTCATCGAGATACTTGTTAATTACTTTAGCTTGTCTATGAATGAATTTGTAGTTTATTTTGATTCATCAGATATAATCAGGTGCATCCTGTGTCAGTTGTGGTATATGTATATAAACCTAGTGTCCTCGCCAGCTTTTGGGCACCTCGACTAGTTCCACGTGATACATGTCAATTATGTTTAGCTTGTCTATGAATGAGTTTGTGGTTTATTAATACATCAGATATAATCAGGTGCATTTTGTGTCAATTATGGTATATATATTGATAACCGTGGTATCCTGGCCAGCTTTTGCGCGCCTCAACTATTTCCACGGGATACCTGTCAATTATGTTTAGCTTGTTTGTGAATGAATTTGTAGTTAATAAATACATTAGATAGAATCAGGCTCGCGAACTGTGTCCATTATGGTGGATATTTTTTAAAGGCTAGGGTAGTAAAAATGATAGTTGAGTTCCTTCTATATCATTTTGATCTCTCTTTAAGTCTTTCATAGAGGCCTAATAATTTGTTCATTGTTGAGTTGCGTTTGGATGCTAGTTGCCACATCATCATTATCGGATTACACATTACCTAAGGAATCTAAACCAATAATCAAAATCAAATTTTGACTTATATGTCTAGTCCAATTGCTCAATTTAGACTATGAAAATTCAAGATTTCATGGTTCAAGTTACTCCTAATTTATTTATAATAACGAGACGTGATTTAGCTAGAATATTAGACAGCACATTCTTCTTTAGAGACTGTGACAAGCTATTAGATATCAACTAAGTTAGGTGTCTATGATGTGCACTGTGCCAGTATTTTACATGTCTGGAAAAAAAAAGCTAGCGAAGTAGAAAAAGATCGCGGGCTTTTCATCTGTCATTTTGATCTCTCTTGAAGTGAGTTGTTTTTCTTTGTTGCACTTTGCAACTGATGGTTTATTGCTGCACTTCTGGGGACGTGCAGTGCCTTGCTCTTTGGACTTTACAACAACACCTTCCCTGCAAAGGCTAGTTGAAATGTGTTCTATTTACTGACCTGGAAGGATGAACATATTGTATCACCTTTCCTTTGTCTCTTGTTTTCTCTTTTCTGATAACAGTACTTCAGGTTGATTTCTTACTAGATCATGTCAAATGGGACGACAAAGGCCTTGCGGTTGCTATAGCCCAAAATGTTGATACAGGAGCAGTCTTAATGCAAATGGTGTCCGGGCTAGCTTTTGGGCACCTCGACTAGTTCCACGTGATACATGTCAATTATGTTTAGCTTGTCTAGGAATGAGTTTGTGGTTTATTAATACATCAGATATAATCAGGTGCATTTTGTGTCAATTATGGTATATATATTGATAACCGTGGTGTCCTGGCCAGCTTTCGCGCGCCTCGAGCCCTCAACTAGTTCCACGGATACCTGACAATTATGTTTAGCTTGTTTGTGAATGAATTTGTAGTTTATAAATACATCAGATATGTGTCCATTATGGTGGATATTTGTTTAAGGCTAGGGTAGTAAAAATGATAGTTGAGTTCCTTGTATTTCATTTTGATCTCTCTTTAAGTCTTCATAGAGGCCTAATAATTTGTTCATTTTTGAGTTGCGTTTGGATGCTAGTTGCCACATCATCACTATCGGATTACACATTACCTAAGGAATCTAAACCAATAATCAAAATCAAATTTTGACTTATATATCTAGTCCAATTGCTCAATTTAGACTATGAAAATTCAAGATTTCATGGTTCAAGTTACTCCTAATTTATTTATAATAACGAGACGTGATTTAGCTAGAACATTAGACAGCACATTCTTGTTTAGAGACTGTGACACGCTATTAGATATCAACTAAGTTAGGTGTCTATGATGTGCACTGTGCCAGTATTTTACACGTCTGGAAAAAAAAAGCTAGCGAAGTAGAAAAAGATCGCAGGCTTTTCATCTGTCATTTTGATCTCTCTTGAAGTGAGTTGTTTTTCTTTGTTGCACTTTGCAACTGATGGTTTATTGCTGCACTTCTGGGGACGTGCAGTGCCTTGCTCTTTGGACTTTACAACAACACCTTCCCTGCAAAGGCTAGTTGAAATGTGTTCTATTTACTGACCTGGAAGGATGAACATATTGTATCACCTTTCCTTTGTCTCTTGTTTTCTCTTTTCTGATAACAGTACTTCAGGTTGATTTCTTACTAGATCATGTCAAATGGGACGACAAAGGCCTTGCGGTTGCTATAGCCCAAAATGTTGATACAGGAGCAGTCTTAATGCAAGGGTTTGCAAACAGAGAGGCTTTGTCAACAACAATCTCATCACGTAAAGCAACATTTTATAGCCGGTCACGGTCATCTTTATGGACAAAGGGAGAGACATCCAATAATTTTATCAATGTTTTTGATGTCTTTCTTGATTGTGATCGTGATTCTGTAAGTTTTTAGAATCCCTTTTGATAATTAAATTGTGCCTTTGATTCCATGTGCTTTTTTACTGAAATGATAATCAAAACTACCTATCAGATAATATATCTTGGGAAGCCTGATGGTCCAACATGCCACACGGGGTCAGAGACATGTTATTACACGCCAGTTGATGAGCTTCTGAAAAATCCTGAGGTTAGTCGCATTCTGTCAGGTGTTTTAATTTTTTTTTCATCATCTTTATACTACCTTTCTAAAAGAAGTTTTTAATCATCTCATGAATTCAATGAAAAATAGCTCGGCTTTTCTTTTGGAAAATGGTCTATATGAACCTGCCTAAGATGTAGTAGCTGTGCTAGGTTGAGAAAAACGAGCTGGCTTTGACGACTTTATACGCATTAGAATCTACAATCAACCAAAGGAAGGCAGAAACATCTAGCTCTTCAAATGGAAAACCCTCGTGGACGAAGCGATTGTTACTTGATGACAAATTGCTTTGCTCCAAAATTCGGTATATTGCTTGAGAATACTTGATCTTATCATTGACTGGTCTTCAGAAAAATAGCTTTTTCTACTCCCTTGTAGCACATACATATCTGGGGTATTAAATTGGGATTGATGGGTATTATAGTTTTCTTCTGAATTTTGTTCTTCACATCTTGCAGAGAGGAGGCTGACGAGTTATGCCGAACTCTGGAGCAAAACGAGGCTAATGGTCGGACTGCCTCTGAGATGGCAGATGTCTTGTATCATGCCATGGTTTTGCTTTCTCTTAGAGGAGTAAAACTGGAGGAAGTTATGCAGGTCCTTAGACAAAGGTTTTCAAAGTCAGGCATTGAAGAAAAGAATAGTCGAAAATCCTAGGACATATGGTATAGTAAAAACCTCTTCCTCTACCTTATTGAATTTACCTCAATACAAATGAAGGATGCCAAAATAGGTTCATCTGACTTAAAAACATCATATTAGAGTATAGTGTAAAACAGAAGTTCAATGTTTGCTTTCCACCTTTGCGGAAATGATGCCGATGTCCCCCCTTAAATTTTTTATTATCACTCTCCTTACCTGTGCCTAATAACAAACCTCACCCTGATCTGCTGGCATTTCTGTTGTAGTTCCTAACAAGCATTGAAAGGTTATCCTAACTTGGTTCAACTTTTTCGTTCTCTTCATTCTTATTCACGAGTAATAACTTGTTTTTCAACACGTCCGTGCAGGGTTTTACCGTTGAAGAAGGTCTCATTACAGTCGACGATTGTCAAGAGAGAGAGGGAGAGAGAGAGAGAGAGAGAGGCATACTCCAGCTCTCTAATGTTGTTGTTAAAAGTGGGGAGATCTTTGAAGTCTCCTTTGTCAATACAAACCTTATTGATGTACTTTTGCTAAACTATGGGAACATATATGAACAACATTCTAGTTGTAGTACAGACAAGAATTGAGGTCACGCATTGTTAAATTCTCTCTTTAGTGTGTGTTAATCTCTCATGATGATAAAAGATTTGGAATTTCCAATTATAAACAAGATGTGTGGATTAAATCCTTTTAACAAATAAAGTTTTTGATCGGAATACAATGGTCTAAAACAACGATTTTTATCGGTTGTAACATCGTAAGTGTTTAAATTCTCATGAAAAAGGGGGTGTAGCAAAGAAATTGTTCGAATTTTGATTGTTTTTACACGAGAAAGGGGATGTAGCAAAGAAAGTGTTCAATTTTTGATCACTTTTACGTTTCGAATTTTGATCGCTTTTCTCGGTATTTATGCGAAAAAGCGAATATAGCAAAGGAAGTGCTCAAATTCTGATCGCTTTTACGTGAGAAAGGAGGACTAATGACTAATTTCATGATGATTCTCACAAAACAATTTAATATGAATTGAGTTTATACGAAATAACATAATAACGACATATATATATATATATATAGTCTATCACAACTTACTTGACAGATAAGTAAGAATACATGATAGAAAAAATAAAACAACTCCTAGATAACTACAAATTTACTTTCAAATCCCAATTCTTCACCGCACACATACAAAACCAATAAATAGAATAAACCTTTTCGTCTCCTACCAACAATGGACACCAAACCCCATTGACGACGATTCAAGGAAAACAATCAGAAAAAAAAGATACTCTATATAGATCTCGTTTTTGTGTTTATCAAATCGCAATTCAGTTCAGTTCAATTGAATTATCAGTGTTGCAGCAATGTCAGGTGTATCACTGCAGTGTGGTGATTGTGGAACTCTTTTCAAATCTGTAGCAGAAGCACAAGAACATGCTGAAGTAACCTCCCATGCTAACTTCTCTGAATCTACTGAAGCTGTTCTAAATCTCGCCTGTACTGCTTGCGGCAAGCCTTGCCGCTCCAAAACGGTAAAAAAAAATTGCCCCTTTTGTTGATTATCTGTAGCTACGAATAGAGTTTTAATGATTTGTAGTTCCAATTGATGGATCCTAAGGAGTAGTTGTAGCTCTGAAGTAAGCGGAGGTGGATCCAAGATTTGAACTTTATTATTAGTTTTAGGTAACTATTGATAATTTGAGTAATTGGGTTCCAAATTTGATGTTTGTGATGATTTTTAACTACGAGAGCCTGGTTTCGATCCTGGAATAGTACTAGGTGATTCTTCCCAGCTTTCAAAGCCTTGGTGGATAAAGGTACTAGAGCTGGTGGGAGGCTGGAGGTGGTTAGGTATGTAGTGAAATTAGTCGAAGTGCCCGGACACCACAGTCATAAAATAAAAAGAAGATTTTTAACACGAGTTTGGACTAAAGCTACTAAATTGGGCTGAGCTCATATCTTACCTTGTACATCTGCCTCTAGAAGTTACTACTCCTCCATTGTGACATGGGTGCAGGCTTTATATATTTTAGCTGTGTAAGATGGGATACACCCATGGCACCCACGACTTTGATCCAACGATAAAGATTGTACCAAAGGTGGATTCTGGACTTGAATATTATGGTTTTTGAGTTCGGCATTCTATCACAGTCCATTTGATTTACCAAGTTTCGAAACCTATTAATAATATGTAATTATTTAGCAATACTTTTAACACATATGTAGGGTCTGAGCCAAGTTAACTGTGTTTGGTTGAACCTGTAACTAAAGCAGTACGTACTCCTCTGTGTAGTACAACGTATGTGAACTAAGTCTGGTAGTTAAATGAGAAAGGTAGATGGGCAGATTCATTATCCACCAAGTTTTGAAGCCAAAAACAGTGGAATTCAGTTATAAAAAGGATGAATAGAAGGGTGGATCCACTCAGGTGCTTAGTGCAGTATATTATATTGCTATTTGTGTGAATTTGGGTGGAGATAGTTCGCCAGAAGTTAAAATACGCAAACTAAGCTGTAAAAACTTCTGATCGAAATATGAAGAGTTTATTTTTGCTGTAATGACGATTTAACTGTTGATATAGCTTGACAATGTAGCTTTCTGTGAATTTGATGTTTGAAGGAGAGTGATTTGCACACCAAGAGAACTGGGCACACAGAATTTACGGACAAGACAGCAGAGGGAGTGAAGCCAATCAGCTTGGAGGTGCCAAAAGCAAAGGCCGACAATGATGAAGACATGGCAGAGGTTGGTGATGACAGTGGTACTGACCAGCATGAAGGTAGTAATTCATTGTTGTCGCAGATTTTGGTCTTTTAAGTTTCAATATAGTTGCTAGATAATCTTATTTTTTACATATGAGATTTGCTAGTTGGGTGAGGCTTATGAGAACAGGAAAGGTGCTTCTTTTCCTCTTTAATTGTTTTTGGGGAAAGCTATGTGTACTAGGACTTAGATGATGTACTACAAATAGGTCATGGAGGATTTAGGAGAGTGTTAATTCTTTTCCATGAAATACATATGACGAAATAAAGATTATTTACTGAAAATTCCACTTCCCTTTTGAAAAGAATGTTCTTTTTTTCAGTAGTTTTATTTTATGAGCTAGTTTAGATGGATAAAATATCCTTGGACTGTCAATATTGAGGACCAGGGGGTGGGGGATGGGTGGGGAGATAGAAGTACTATGAACATTTGAGATGAATTACAACATCTAGACAAGTCAGGATGGAGGGGGTTTTTCATATGTTTGCCTCTTTGATTCATCAAACAAGCTCTTTATTTAGATCTAGAATTTGCAAGTGTAAGGTGCTTATGATCCAATTCTAATAGGGAAGAACTATGAAACCCAAAATTTACAGCTAAATATTTGGTCAAATGAGGCATAAACATCTGATCAATCCTTTATTTTTATTGTTTATATGTGGATACATTGGTGCTAATATACCTTTTTTTGGCCAGAAATGGTTGTTCCCGAAGTTGACGAAAACCTGCTATCGGAACTTGAGACAATGGGATTTTCCAAAGCTAGGGCTATCCGGGCACTCCACTTTTCCGGTGAGTATTTTTGTGGATGAGAATCTTCATCCTTATGATTGTCCCTAAATCTATTGGAGATGAGAAATTATCCAAAAAAAATCCATCTATGATGCATTCAGGTGACCGATGTAATTATTTTGTAAAAAATTAAGACTCTTGAATACATATAGAAATAGATCTATAGAGCTCCTAAATGGTCCATTCTCAGCCAAACCAGCTACCATTTTGTAGTACTGGACTGAGCTGAGAAAGCTTAGTCTGTTAATACTCAAGAGGGGGGGAGGGGGAGGGGGGGAGCTGAATGCCAATTCTACTATGATGTCAATCTCCCAATTCTGTATGTGACTGTTGACCACGTTGTTGCCTGTGCGAGGTTCCTCTCTGTTTCATCTATTAAAATTCAAGGCATTTAATTGTTCATGCCTGTGAATTTGGATACAGGCAATGCCAGCTTGGAGGCTGCTGTAAATTGGGTTGTAGAGCATGAAAGTGACCCAGACATAGATGAAACACCAATGGTATGGAAATTTCAGATTCCTGCATTAAATTTCTTTGTTCACTAACTAATTATATGTTGTGGTTACTGTTTCCTAATGAGTTTCATAAAGATGTTTAAATGTGGCATTTATGGTTTGCTTCGATAATTCAATGATTATTAAAATTTACCTAGGTACCTGCCAGTGCCAAGAAAGGTGAGGCACCAAGGCCTTCTCTTACTCCAGAGGAAATAAAGATGAAACAACTAGAGTTGAGGTAAATTCTTTCTGCTAAATTGTTCTCTGTGATTTCTGAGTAGCTGAACATTGTTTTGGGACAAGTATGTGGTTTAATTCCAGAGATGTCTAGTTTAATCTTTTAAATAATTTCATTTGTTTTGTGCATTGTGTATCAGAATAGTTTCTGACAAATGCATCTTTTATCTTACAGTATGATTGCTTATTTTTTAATGTTTCAATGACTTCTAGGGAGCGTGCTCGTAAAAAGAAAGAAGAGGAAGAGAGACAAAGGGAAAGAGAGAGAGAAAAGGTAACACTTGATTTAGATTTTGACGTTAGTTTGCATTAATGGAAGTCAATTGAATATTATTGTTGAATTACATTCTGAAACCAGTGATGGTTGATTGGTTGTATTAATAGTTAACTGCATTTTATGTTTCAACTTGTAATCAATCTAGTTGAATATGTTAGTGAAGTCGTTTTGCCTTCTGCTTCAGGAAAGAATTAGAATTGGTAAGGAACTCCTGGAAGCAAAACGGATTGAGGAAGATAACGAAAGAAAACGGTATGCCTTAAACTTTGCTACTCTTTCTGTTTTCACCTTCAATGATTTCTGCTAATATAATTGAAATTTTTTACGCTGCTATATAGTATAATAGCATTGCGTAAGGCTGAAAAAGCGGAAGAACAAAGAGCTAGGGAGAAAATTCGTCAGAAGCTGGAAGAAGATAAGGTCAGGAACTTCAATCTATCATGAAATTTCGTCAACCCTTCTATATCTAGCGTGCTTGATGGAACTTGTCAATTTACTAATGTATAAAACATCCTTTGTCAATATAATTGATTTCACTTAAAAACAGTACTATTTGTTACTATCTAATTTATAGCTATGCATCTAAAAAAGTTAAAAGAGTGAAAAATACATGTATTTTAATTTATTATGTTTTGGTTTTAGGCCACTGATTGTTTTGTGTTGCCATTGCATTCAGGGGATCATGTGGAGAAAATGATCTGACCTAGATGGTCTCATTCTAAGTTTTTAAATTAAAAGAGACTGATGAAATTCCTGGCATACACTAGATTTGGAAATCTAAAAGATGTAGTTACGCCTATTGGGACTATGGTGACCTTATTAGGTTCTTCTGGGTTGACGCTAAAATTTCTTTTCCTTTTGATTCCTGACTTTTTCTGCTTTTGGAAGTAACAAGAATCTCCTTCTAAAAAAAAAGTAACAAGAATCTGGCACACTACAAGTATATTCCAGAATATGCGCGTATAAAATGCATATCAGAGAGTTTCTTTCAGCGGTCAACGTCTAATCAATATCACTAATTCAAATGATTTTTAAATTCCTGCACCAAATTATAACTCATGATCTGGATCACTTAAGTGCAATCCTCACATCATACTTTACCTGCTTCTACTTTTTGTCATATTGAAACAATTCTGTTTACTTCACAGG